GAGCCCTCCTTCCCCGGTAATGGCCAGCCCTAAAGTCCCCGCCATATCTGCCCCTCCCTGTTACGATCGTAATGCTCTGGCCCACTCCCGTGTCCGTAATTCCCTCGATCACCCCAATGACCCCCGAGTTCCTCGACAGGTCCTCCGAATCAGACATACTCATTCATTCACCCCAAGCAGTCCCCACGTAATAATTAAAACACAAAAAATACAACAATAATAGGCAATAAAAAAGGTGGGATCATTCACTCAATCACATGCAAATCCCATACACTCGCCATACCAGTTAAAAGATTGCGCAACCGTGCGAAGTTCGTACAAGGCTGATAACAGGGTAGGAGAGGAGGTCTTAATGATCTTAGCCTTCTCCTCTGCAAAGTCCAGTAAAGAGGACACGGTCCGAAGAGGGCTGCTCCCCATTGGTGTATAGCACTCCATTGTGCTTTACACCATTCTCTGAGCAGTTCACAATGTCAGTGTAACCCCCAACAATAGAGGTCATAATTTTACCAATTTCAGAAGGCTGGAAGGCTGATTCAATACCGAGCCCCATCAGGATCAAACTCCAGACAGTGGGTAGAGTTTACCTGCAAAACTGTGCGACCAGAATGCCTAAAAACATTATTGCACGAAGGGGTAGAAGAGTCGAGCTTCTGAATACACCAATGAGGGATGCCACAGGCCATGTTGGGATGAGGCTTTGCCAGCTTGAAGCCAGCTTGGCATAGTGGTTAAAACATCAAGCTTCAAAACATGAAGCTGTGAGTTCTATTCCAGTTTTAGCATGAAGCCCATTGTGTGACTGGGCCAGTCACTATCTCTTGGCCCCAAAAAGAAAGCAACAGCAAGCTATTTCGGAAAATGCTGCCAATTCATGGACTTGTCTAGCCGGTCACCAGGAATCAATAATAAATTGAAGGGATGCTTGCACACACAAACACACAAACTTTGTCAGTATGTTGGTGATACTCAGTTTTATCTATTCCAGGCTGGTTCAGTGACAGTGTTGGGTTCCTGACACATTGTCTTGAGATTTTAAAAATGGGTTGAGCCTTCTCGGGAGATAGCGTATCATATCCTTTGCCACTGAGCAGTAGACATTTCACAGAAAAATATATTTTTAAAAATCCATCATCTCTCTCATCACATTAAGAATGTACAAGATCTCTCCCGTTCTTATACTTCTAAGGAAGATTAAAGAGATGATGTCTTACTGTTGGTCCCAGATGATTAGATGAAAGAGGTACTTGTATACATGAGCTTTTCGGGTTTGCAGGGGGGTACAAAGCTCTTTTCCCCCATGGCTGAGTGAGCAGGAGAGGTAGAAATCTTCATAGCTGTGGAGAGATGGATGGCAATAAAGGTCAGATGAGCAAATTCTCATAATCTCACAATGCAAAAGAAAGAAAAGAAAAGTGGAGGCTTTCAGTAATGCATAACTGCAATGCAAAAAAAACCAGGAGGTTCAATTGAAAAGAAATGCCTTGATTTTTTTTCCTGTTCAGCAACTGATTCACAGGTGAGAATCGGTTTTATTCCCAGGCCCAGAAAAGTCCTATCCACTTTGGTACCCCCCAAGGGACAATTAATAAAAGAAAAATCCAGATGGTTTGTGTTTTGTCCACAATGTGCCTAAAGATTATTCATGCAACCAGAGGAATCTCCAATTAATAGATGACTCAGCTATAATTTCCCTTCCCCACCTGAGATACATTAAAGGCCAATAAATTTTCAGAAGCATTGAAAGATTTTTTTTCCTGAAGTTAGTTTGAGGGGTGGGCATGAGAATATGAAAGTGTGTTTGCCGGGTTAGCATCAGCTCTGCTTTCAGTCTTTCAACAAAATTTCCTTACAGTTTGTTTAATTTCAAAAGCTATTATTAGCCACTTTTGTATGTCTGAGATGGAAAAGAACAATTAATAATAATACTACACCTACACTTATAATATCACAGGATATTCCTTGTTTCCTCCATACTAAAATAATACTGGCATTGTTTTGTACGATTGGTTATGTGATATACCAATAAAAATACTGGAGGGCAAGAGACAAAAAACTTCAAGCTGTATAAAACTTTATAAAGCTAGCAGCTTTCTTCCCCCGCCCCCCACTCTCTCTCGGTGGGTGGGTGGTCATGTGTGTGTGTGTGTGTGTGTGCACGCGCGCGCTTTAGGAAATGGGTTGGATTTACACTTTGGAATAACAATAACCACTTGGTTATTGACAAAATCACTAGAAGTAAATTGCAAAAGGCAACATCCTGTGACCATATCTCTAAAACTATCATAATTTTTTTTATCTGTTTATTTGAGGTTCCTGAGAAGGGTTAGAGTTAGATGGATAAAAATGCCAAATCCAGTCTAAAAATGTGGCTAACTATATGACAACCCTCCCCAAAAAATTCTCTTTCATGCCTATGATTTTTAAAGGGAAATTTCCACATTTCAAGATTCTAAAGTTTACAATCTTTGCTGTTATCCTAAGAATCCCTCAGTCTTTCTTTCTGGCATCAAATAAAGGTGTAACTTTGGGCACAGAAATTCAACCCAACACATGGCCAGGATTGGGACGTCTAAACCAAACCTTTTTTTAAGTAATCCTTTGAACAGATCCAGATCTCAGTTGAAATATGCCTTATCTGAGACATTTTTCAACTTAGATAGTTGAACAAAGGAGGAGGAGGAAGATGGCTAGAAAAGGACAGTTCTCCCACAAATTTACACACACACACACACACACACACACACACACACACACAAACACACACACCTCAACATAACAACCACAGGGTGTTTCTTGGGGTTATCATCTTTTCAAAAGGGTTTCCCTACTTCCTTCTCAGCCAGTGGAGAGATATATGCCTTTTAGAATGCCATCACAGGGTGCTCTGTCAGAAAGCAAGCCATGTGACAGGTGCGGAGCGATGATGCTAGGATACTTTGCTGGGTAACAAAGGTCAGGACAGGCTTGGATTTCCCAGGCTACTGCTTTTGTTCAGAATCACTCATTCAGTGGAATACATTAAGAATGGAACAAAAGCAAGAAGTCCCTGGAGGGATGGTAGCTAACTTCTGCAACCACATCTCTCACATGTTCCTGCTGCTGGGGAAGTAGATTACTCCCAGTCACTGCATCTCTGTCTTTATTGGAATGAAAACACATGAGCAAAGAGTGTTTACAAAGAAGCAACATCCCTCCCTCCACATACTTCTTATTGTCTCTATAGCCATTAGGTGAGTCGCCTCCACTAGCAGCCTTTGGCCAAAGAGGGGAAGCCCAGGCTGAGAAGTAGCCATCTGTCACTGTCTATAGAGCCAAGCCCAGAAGGGAGGGTCCCTGCCTATGGACTGTGCTAGGGTAACATTCCAGGGAGTTTCTAGAGAACAAAGAATCTAGTATTTAGACTTCATCTGACCAGCTAACCTCATTCTTTCAAGGGAAATAGGTCCTCTTCAAAGGTACTTTTAAGAGCCTGTCATGGGGGAGTGGAATGTGTACTATTAAATATATATAGTTCCCTTATGGATGCTCTCTCTGATTTTTATACCCCAATGGCAAAAATGAACCCTGGTGATCTTCATAGAAAATTGTATTCTACAATCCTGGTTATTTTATTAGATTTATATTTCATGCAACACTCAAGTCAGCCTAGAACAATTAAAAAGAAATATATAAAACATAAAAACAAGACAATGCAATTAAATTAAGATCAGTACATGACAGTTTTTGTCATTCTCTTTAAAACTGGGAAAGGGGACCAAAGACATCTCCTTGGGGATGCATTCCATAGCCTGGGAACCACAAGAGATGCCCTCTCCCATGTGCCAGAAATGACCTCTTTGTTGATATAAGTGACTGGGCACTTCAAAATGAGAATGAAGCTTCCCAGTATCCTGCCAATAGCTGTAGACTTGTACATTATTATTTTAATATTCCATTTCATCCTTTTGCCATACACAGCAGTCCCTTTTCCACTGTTATCTGTGTGAGGTACAGAGAGCTAAAAGGAACTTTGTGGTCCACAGTCACCCAGAAAGCTTCCTCATCTGAAGGTGGACTTAAAGACTGATGTCTCCAACTTAGTCCCTAGGTCTAGGTTAAAAGGTGTATTGTCCTTTGCCAAACATTTTTTGTGACTGAATGGAGTTGTGAATCCTCCAACACTGGACATTTTTAAGATGATGTTGGATAACCATTTGTTTGAAGTGGTGTAGGGTTTCCTGCCTAAACAGGGGTTGGACTAGAAGATCTCAGGGATCCCTTCCAACTGTTATTCTATTCTAAACATTGTCAAGTTATGACAAAAATATGTTCTTGTTTACCTTGTAGCCCAGGTGATGGGTATACGATGAGTAGCATAGACTCTGAAGGAGAGAGGACAGGAAAGTAGTCGGGCCTCTTGGGAGAATGAATGCTTTCTATTCCCATGTACCACTGTCTGGAAGTCTGCATTGAAGGTATTGCAATAGAGCTCCACCAGATCCAAGATAGAGGCTGTCAAAGCTTCTACAATTTTCTCTGTTGGAGAGAGGAAACTCATTTAGATACTGTGAGAATTCATAATGAATTCTAGAATTCATTTTTAAGTGCCCATCAGGAATATGTCCCTGTGGAGTTTATACATATGGCAAACATTTTAACCACAGTGATGCTGTTCTATAAATGGTGCTCATCCATTACGAAGTTTTCCAGTTCTAAATTCCCAGGTATAAGGCTTATTTTTATTGCTCATTGTTCTGTATAGAAAACATAATTTGCAAGTTTTGCAAAAATTGTTTAAAAATTAAAACATTTGGAAATAACAAATAAAATCTTTACTTGCTTACTTATATAACATGGTTTGTTTGTTTTAGCAGCTCTGAATCTTGCAACTGTCATTTCTGAAGGGTGTTTGTTTATTGCTTAATGTTTAAGCAACCTCAGCCAAGTATGGTTTTTTGGGGGCAAAGCTGATTAAAAAAACCATGTCTTTTCTGAGCGTGTGAGCTCAGTTTAGGTGTACTGTAGCATGTTCTTTTCCAAAGTTACTCATTTTGACTACTGGTTTATCTTTACCCAAATCATGCCTTCTAGAAGACAATTTCTAATATATTAAGTAGGGTAAAGGTAAAGGTTCCCCTCGCACATATGTGCTAGTCGTTCCTGACTCTAGGGGGCGGTGCTCATCCCCATTTCAAAGCCAAAGAGCCAGCACTGTCCGAAGACATCTCTGTGGTCATGTGGCTGGCATGACTAAATGGTGAAGGCAAACAAAATGCTGTTACCTTCCCACCAGAGGTGGTCCCTATTTTTCTACTTGCATTTTTACATGCTTTCGAACTGCTATGTTGGCAGAAGCTGGGACAAATAATGGGAGCTCACTTTGTTACGCGTCACTAGGGATTCGAACCACTGAACTGCCAACCTTTCTGATCGACAAGCTCAGCGTCTTAGCCACTATGCCACTGCATTCCATTAATACCTTAAGTAACACATCCTAATCATGTGTTGTGAAAAGAGGCTGTCTTCTTTTCTACAAGTAATTGACTAATGTCCATATTATCACTTAACATCTATATAAAAATCAGTTTTGCTAGGCCACAAAAAACAAAGCAAACAAACAAGCAAACAAAAAAACCCCAAAGCAAGGACCATGCCAAATTCTTCCCTGGAATGCTCCTTTTCTATAAAGCTGTGATGTGTCTACTGTGCAAAGCATGCTGATAGTCATACGGCTTGCTCTATGAGTGAAAACTGAATCTATTTCAATTGCGAAAATGGGTAGAAAAAGTGTTAACTATCACACTATCACGTTTTTTGATTTTTTTTTAAAAAAAACCACCTTATAAGAATTTCTATTTCAAAGAACTCTCATATTATAATTAGCAAATATAGCCTCACAAAGGTGTAATTAGCATTTTTTTGAAAAATGTTCCACTACTGCTCTGTTTGATCAAGATAAATCAGCTGTCAAAAGAGTTTGCTCAAAGGAATTTTCCATTTTATGTACTCATTCTAAATGAAGAACTCAATTGACTCAGAAAATTAATATATACTGTCATTGTTTTTATTGTGGTTGCTTTTTGTTGTTATAGGAAACAACAGAATATTAAAGCCTCCTGAATTCACTAATTAGAGAGGAAATGTTTACCTCTGTTTTCCCTCATGGCCAAAACACTTGGATCCTGTTCAGAAAAGAAAAACAAAATTGAAAATAAGTAATGAGTCTATCACCTTATATGTAGTACCCGAACATGTTTCCTAACTCAGTTTATTCACTAAATCATCATAGCAAATATTCGTCCATCCTACCATTTTGCTCCAAGTACCCATTGATCTTTTTATTCTGAATGCTAAAATTCTCCAACCAAAGGTTCTCCAGATGGACCAACTCCCAGAAATCTTAGCAACAAGTAAGTGGGCTGGAGATTTACAGTTTGACCTGTCAGTGTAAACTCAAAGGTAATTTCTAATGTCTTAAGTAAACACATTTCCAGATAGGTTTTTAAATTACCCCTTGGGCAAGGGGCATTTTCTTTGATCAGACTTTTTAAATAAATCCTCTCTGAGGGTCTGCCTCAAGTTCCATTTGCTCTGCGAATGCTAATGGCTTAAAGTTCATCCATACACCACATCTATCATGCAGGTCAAGATAGTTACCAATCACCTAATCCTAAAATATTCCATTAGCTTGTCTGGGTTTACACATTGCACTAAATCATAACGTGATTTATTTTAAGCTCAGCACCATTTTGGAACCACCAATTATCACACAGTATTTTGTAAAACCTGGCCATGTAAATGAAGAATATGAAAGAGTCCAAAATGGATTGAGCTGCAATAACTTAAACTCTCACCACATATTAATTAGTGTCTTACTTGTCTGGAGTGGCACAGAAATCTATGTAGGTAGGTAAATAAATTCACCTTCTCTGAAAAATGTACTGCAAATGCACTGTGTTTGCGCATGCACACTACCTTCTGTGCATACACAGCGCTCACATATTACATCAGGGTGAGTGGGCGGAACCTCCTGCAGCTGCCCCTACCGGTTCACCCGGAGAGAACCGGGTGAATACCACCTCTGGATAGAATGCAACATACCATTGCTGTAGTTAAAAGGGGGCGGGGGGAAGGAGGAAGCAGCTGCAATAGCATCTCTTGTCCTATTTTTGCATACATTGAATTCCCCTCTTATCATTTTCATGTATTTGGTTTTAATGTTAAAATTCAAGCTTGGTGTTTCTGAACTTTCAGACTCTCGCTTCTTACCTTCTGAATTTTGGGCTGCATGCGAGATGGACAAGGCGGTAGCTGATTCAGGGCTGCCGTGATTTCCTGGGATTCAACAGCAGCCAAAGCATTGCAAATGGCCATGACAGACTGGACTACCCGCTCTGCTTTCAGTTGGAAATCTCCCTGGATGAATAATTGAAACACTGGAGTCAGTTACAATGATCTTATTTATATCTTTGCATTAACTCTCAGCTTGGGAGCCTGACAATCATTAAGATCTAGCAGGCATGGGTGTGGAACTCAAGTATTTCCTCTCCTTTGATATCAGTGAGATTTCTTCCCAAAAGCAACAGTAAGAACATCTTTAGAGCAGGATACCTTGGCAAAGGTGTCTAAATCAAAAAGAGAAACGTTTATTTTGCTCTCTTCCTGTTCTCAGAAATGAAAGCACTAAATGAAGTTGTGTGAGCCAGGAAGGCAGGAAGGAGTGAAACAGGTAAAAGTTTCTGTTTGGAGTTTTCTATATAGTACTACAGAAAACTTCAAACATATTTTTCTATATAGTACTATGTAGGGACCAAGTGGCGCAGTGGCTAAGACGCTGAGCTTGTTGATCAGAAAGATCGGCAGTTCAGCTATTCGAATCCCTAGCGCCGCGTAATGGATTGAGCTCTTGTTACTTGTTCCAGCTTCTGCCAACCTAGCAGTTCGAAAGCATATAAAAATGCAAGTAGAAAAATAGGAACCACTTTGGTGGGAAAGTAACAGCGTTCTGTGTACCTTTGGCGTTTAGTCATGCCGACCACATGACTACGGAGATGTTTTTGGACAGAGCTGGCTCTTTGGCTTTGAAACGGAGATCAGCACTACCCCCTAGAGTTGGCAATGATTAGCACATATGTACGAGGGGAACCTTTACCTTTACCTATGTAGTACTATCTATATACAGATAGTTAAAACAAGGCCGCTGTATCTATTGGAAATATGTATACATTATGTACCTAAAAGCACTACTACAGTAAACATTCTAATTTAGAAAATAAGAGTCTGTCGCTTTTTCTCACTTCTGACAAATTCTATTGAGCTTTTGTGAACTTTAGCACAGAATATGTATGTATGTATGTATGTATGTATGTATGTATGTATGTATGTATGTATGTATGTATGTATGTATCAGTTTCTACAAATCAAAAACAGAAACTCAGTTAAACTTGAGGTGGTCCTTTTTTTTCTCTTCACTATCTTTGTGACCAAAAACTAATCAGAAACTTGTGGAAAAATTATTAAGACTTTTTCTGCCTTAAATTCAAATATGGTTTCAGATATGTCTTTAATGTATTTTAACACTAAAGTCATACTTGAATTTAAAAGGAAAAAAGTAGCATCACATGATTTCCAAATTCTACATAAAGGAATGTAATATGTTCCAATTCCTTCATGTAGAATTTGAAAGACATTTGATATTATTAACATTTTCCACCAATATAATTCATTGCTCCAGAAGGCATAGAAAGAATTGCCACTAAGGGGCACTGTTGTTTACTGCGCCTTACTGTGCAAAATGCAGGTATTTGTTGGATAAGAGTCCTGAAAAGGTCTGTTGCATATAGTCAGTAAGGATCAGACTTGCAGAAGATGTGGAAGAAAGATCTACAATTCTCTTCCTTCACTGGACAGCACTTAACGAAATGGGTTTCCATAAAGCAAAATCAGAAAGAAAGGGATCGGTGTGTATCAAACAGGAAAAATAAGATGCAAAGTGTAAAAATTGTGCTCTATGGAAACTAAAATCATTTTCGCAAATAATTTCTGTAATTTCTATATATATATTAATCTATAAAAATATTGTTTTTTCCTTTTTTATGGAGGACTTAACAACTCAATCGTTTACGAAATCAAATATGAATTGTTTAGGATTTTATATGTGTTTGAAATTATGTATTTACGAATAATCTCTAAAGCAGAGTAAGAAATAGTTAAACTCCCTATGTTTCTCTCATTTTCATACATACAATTTACACAAAGCTGCATAATATTTGTCCCAAGTATTGTATCAATTGTTTCTTTCTTAGATTGGATAGAAGGGTAGATTAAACAAATAACCTTAAATTTTACCTTATTTTGCACTATATATTATTTTCCCTTTGATAACACTTTTTCCCTTCACCATGCACACATTTCTTTATAAAACCACCAGCTCTTTATTTATCTAATGATGCAGAGTCTCTAACATTTTGAGTATAGAGATACATAATCACAGTGATACAATCATGATTGGTCCACTAATGGGAGAAGATGGCAAGGAAGTAACAGGCAGCAGGGAGAAAGTTGGAATTGCTTAATTGCATCTATCTTTACAAAAAAAAAAGGGGGGGGGAAAGGCTAACCAATCAAAAGCAGTACCATAGAAGACAGAATAGGAATGCAAGTTAAAATAGGCAACAAAATGTTAAGAGAGTATCTATCCACTCTAGATGAGTTCAAATCGCCAGGACCAGATGGATTGCATCCCAGGATTCTGATGGATCTGGCAGACGGGATCTCAGAACTATTAAACTAAATGTTTCAAAACTCCTGGAGCAATACCAGAGAACTGCAAAAAATTTGCAGTCTGGTTCCAATCTTCAAAGGGGAGGGAGGGGGAATGATTCAGGAAACTACAGATTAATTAGCCTGACATCAATACCTCCTGAAAAAGAAAAAGATAATTAAGCAACAGATCTGGGAACACTTATAAACGAGCAAAGCTATTACTAGGAGCCAATATAGGTTTAATAAAAACATATCATGCCAGACAAATCTTACTGCATTATTTGACAAAGTGACTAAATTAGTGGATGAGGGAAATGTTGTGAACATAGTTTACTTAGACTTCATTAAGGCATTTGATAAAGTAGACCATAACCTACTTCTTGGTAACAGAAAAATGTGGGATAGATAGCATCACCATTAGATGGATTTGCAACTGGCTGATCAATCATACTCAGTGTACAGTCCTCAGTGGAACTATATTTAAATGTTAAGAAGAATGCATTGGGCTTTTTCTTATGCTCAGTCTTCAATCTATTCATAAATTATTTAATAAAGGGATAAAAGAGGAACTCATCAAATCTGTAGAAATGCCAAATTAGGCAACAACCAACATCTTAGAAGATAGACTCAAAATCAGAAAGATCTTGACATGTTTGAACACTGGGCCCTATCCAAAAAAATGTAATTCAGTGTGGGGAAAAGTAAGGTCTTACACATAGGCAACCCCCCCCCCCTATACAACTATAGAATAGTTTCTATATGTGAGAGGAATCTAGGTATCCTAGTGGAAAACCATTTAAATATGAGCCAGCAGTGTAATGCAATTGTTAAAAAAGCCAAAACAGTACTAAGCTGCATCAACAGAAGGATAACATCAAGATCACATAAAGTTGTAATACTACTTTATACTACACTAATAAGACCATACTTGGAATACTGCATCCAATTCTGGTCACAATACAAAAAAAAAGATATGTTGAATCACTAGAAATAGTACAGAGAAGAGCAACAAAGACAAATAGGCACCTGGGGGCTAAACTGTATGGTGAACAGTTGGGGAACTCGGTATGTTTATTCTAGAAAAGAGAAGGACTAGGGGTGATGTGGTAGCAGTTATCTGAGAGGCTGTCACAGAAAGAGGGGGATCGACCTATTGTCCAAAGCATCTGAGGACAACATTGAAAATTATGAAAGAGTGATACAACCTAGAATTAAAGAGAAATTTCCTGACAGTGACAACAATTAATCACTGGAACAGCTGCTTCTAGAAGTTGTGGGTGTTCTATCACAGGAGGTTTTCAAGAAGAGATTGGACAATCACTTATCCATAATGGTATAGGTCTCCTGCTCAAACAGCTCCATGGTCCCTTCCAACTGCACTAGTAAGACCACACTTAATACTGCATCTATGACTTCAATGACAAGTGAGACTTTAAGATACAAATTCTGTCAATGCAAGTTTATGAAGTAAGTCCTATTCAATTGATTTGGGACTTATTCTATACAGTTCTTTATAGTTCTTTAAGTTCTTAAATTATAGGTTCTAAAACAGGAACTCAAAGGAAATGCTAGCTTTAAAAAAATGAAGATTTCAATATGTCTCCTCCTTAAAAGTACTAAACTCATACTAAACTCTAAACTCGTGTTCTTTGTTTTTCCTCAACTCCCTCTTTCCATTTTTTTTGTATCTCAGCTATTCAGATGTGTCCTTACAGGCATAAAATATCTTACCTTTCAGTAACTGTAAAATCGTAAGAAAATATAAGATAAATATAAGGAGAATATTTGCATGCAGGCTGACCATGTATCATATTTGCAAGAACTCCAAGGATCTCTTACTTCCCTATCCCATACTTCAGTGACTCATATGATCTAGAACAAACATTCTAATCTCTGCATCAAAAGCTGAATAACACAGATTATTCTAAATGGAAAGAAAAAGCTGGGCAAAGGCCAAAGCTTCACAAAGATGTGATCCTGGCAGCAAAACCAAAATGCATTTATGCATACATATACAACTATCTCTAAAAGGAAAACTGAAACAAAGAGGAACTTTCTACCTTGTGGTGCTCTGCTGACACTATAAAAATACAACCTGAGAATCGCTTCTCTACACCCATTTTTTTCTCTTTTTTTCTTGCTGCTTTGACTGATAGTTCATACTGCTAAGTAGAACAACCTCTTGGCTGCCGTCTGGGGTGGGTTTCACATTTTTTACTACTTATTCTGTGGGCGTGGCCTGTTTTGTGGGTGATGGCTTGGCGGTCATGTGGGTGGGTGTGCCCAATTTGTAAAATGTGGTGAAACTCACTTAAAAACCAAAATGTTGGCTCAGAAACTCTGGCATTTGAAGTGTGCAAGTCTTAAATCTGTCAAGTTACAAGACCCTTGCACCCTAACCCTTTACAACAAAAAACAAACCCCAGGGGTGTTCAAAGTTGACAGCTTTAAGACTTGTGGACTTCAACTCCCAGAATTCCTCCTCCAGTCATGTTGGCTCAGGAACTCTGGCATATGAAGTGTGCAGGTCTTAAAGCTGTCAACTTTGAACACCCCTGGGGTTTTTTTTTCCTAAAGGGTGAGGGGCGCAATGGTTTTGTAACGTGACAGCTTTAAGACTTGCACACTTCAAATGCCAGAGTTCCTG